ATCCTCACACCCAAGCCGGGATTCCACAACCGCTAATGTGGCTTGCTCCAACCTTTAAAGCTGAGTTGTTAATGATCAGGTTAGGTAACCTGGATGAGCCATACACATCTCCTTGCATAGGCTTCCATTCAAAGACAGTCACAAAACATTGACCAAAGTGGAATATTACACTGAATAAACATTTACATTCAACTATGAGGACTTGACACCAAAGAGGCCATAGTTTAATTAAACAGAAGCTCATTTCTCTCCCTTAGAACAGAAAGTCCAGATGAAAGCTGTCTGAGGCTGATGTGGCGGCAGCTCTAAGCATTATTTTAGATTGTGGCTCTCTCCCTCATGTTCCTAAGTTCCAACTATCACACAGTACTCTTGGAAACAGAAAGGGAGATGCCCAAAGGAAGAGGGTGCTCCGAGTTAAGTTAGTGTTTTTAAAGATGCTTCCCAGAAAGCTATAGTCAACAAATTTTCTTGTGAGTCAATGATCAAGATTGACCCATATTGTGACCCTTTTTACATGGAAGCCTGGGTAAATTTGGTTTAATTTGGACACATCATTTCCCTTACAAAATCTGTTTCTAAGGAGCAAAATGAGACTAGCTATTGGGTAGGCACCTGCCACACATCTGTGAATATATGAAAATGTTGATGAAGACATGACAGGAACAATTCTCTGGAAGCCATAGATGATGCCTGGAAGCCTTGTTACCAGCTCCGAGGATGGGGCTGTCAGATGGCAATGACTGCTGATAATACTGTGACTCTAGCATCTGAGATTAACTTGTCCAGTAGTGAAGGAGTTGACATTGGCAACGGGAACATGGAAACCAACTCAGAACGCTTCTGGCCCGTACTCCAAGGACGAAGCACATGACAGATGATAGGGGAATTGGTAAGGTACTAGTTAACTGTGCATGAATCTGTTTTTCTGTCATAATTGTTTGCTTTTTAGGAAATACATATTTAAATGAGACTATTATGTCATTAAATGCATACTGTCTCTGGCATCTTCAAGTAAACTTTTTACACCTAACAAGCTGCTTGCTAACTAAGTCCTGTGTGTAAAGAATTGTGTTGATAACTGAAACATTGTTTTAAGCCACAGTGAACAACAACAACAACAACAACAAATAGCTTGTAATTGTCAGGAGCACAGAATGAATGTCCTTTTGTCCAAAGATCTCCAGGAAAACCAGAAATGTTAAGCACACAGGATTGTCCTCTCAAAGGAATAGAAATGTAAAGCCTGTTTTTCCATCCAGAAAGCTGGTTGGAAGTGACTAATAGCCTGGGATTCTGTGTTATCTGTTGGTCTAAGCCATATCAAGCTCCTACAACTAGGACCTGCAGTGACTAGTCATCTAAATGACCCTTATAGCCAGGGGCTTGTCCAAGCTCCCACAACCAACACTGGAGATACCTAATAGTCTAAATGACCCTTATATTATCTGTATAGCCAGAGGCTCCCCTCAAGACCCCACAACCAGGACCAGAGGTAGCTAATACTCAAATGACCTCTACTCTATCTATATGACCAAGACCAGGCTAGAGCCTTCCTTAGCCCCTTAAGCTAGTACAGGGAGCCTATCTCTAGAACCATCTTCTCGGAAGAAATGAGCCGTACTCTGAGTTAAGCTTCCGCATAATTATGCTTCTTTGTGAACTGGGGATTGTATGAAGTCAGGAAACTTTTTTTTAAAAAAAAATTATACTGTGTTTAAATTTGTTGGGAATAAACTGCCTGGCATCAGACACCCCAGAGTCTTGATCCAGGTTGATGAAGTCGATCTGAACCGAGTTTTCATTCTCATGTCTTTATGGCTCACTTCTCTGCCTGCCATGACCACCTGCAGGGTCCCCATCATGTAATAAAAGAACTCACACTCAATCTTATTACTTGTTTCACCCAATAGTGAAAAAAATTAACATGTGTCTTATGTTAAATAAAAACTGCTCCCCCCACTAGCTCTTATACTTTCCCCATCAGGAATGCACACACACACAGACATGCGCACACACAGACACAGACACACAGACACAGACACACAGACACAGACACACACACACACACACAGACACACACACACGACACACACACACAAACACAAGACACACAAACACAAGACACACACACACACACACACACACAAACACAAGACACACACAGACACACACACAGACACACACACACACACAGACACACACACCTACATGCGTGCATGCACACACACACACACATGAGACACACACACAGACACACACACACACAGAGACACACACACACAAATTTCCTGTTCTTTCCCATCCCCCACAGAACTAGTTACTTTTCTCCTTGCTGTGACTGATAACCTGACAGAAACAACTTAACAAGGGAAGAATTTACTTTGACCCCATGTTTCAGAGGGATTTCAGTCAGCCATGGAAAGACACCGTGGCAGGAAATAGTCCATGTGGGCAGGAACATGAGATGGAAGCGTCCCACATCTTGGTTAATCAGGAAGCAGAGATCTCAGGCTTGAACCAGAAGCAGGTCATTACACTTTGACAGCCTGCCCCTAGTGACCCGCTTCCACCAGCCGGTCACCACGACCTTCCAAACAGAAAACAGGCTGAGGACCGAGTCCTCCAAATACAGGCCCGTGGAGACCTTTTAGAGTCAAACCCTAACAGCCACCTTACCACTATACAGGAAGAAAAAAATTCTCAGGGGGTGTGGAGGTATACCTATGTCATGAAGGCAGGTACCCAAGTCCTTGGATTTGCACACATTATTTAAAGAACTGAAGATAATTTAATTATTTTTTAGATCATCACCTTAAATTTCCATGTGCTTTTTCATATGCACAGATACGTGCATGGCATGCGGCAGCGCTAGGGATGTTACATTTATTTGGTGTCTCATTCTAGTAGCAATCCTCTCACTTACTGTTTGTAGGATGCTCTACTCTGCTAAGACCAGAACCCCTCATTTACAAGGCTGTTGGGGAAAGGAATAGTTAAAAGGCCTGCGGGTGGGAACCTAACTCAGTCATTCCATCTTGGGAGGGAGCGTGGCAGTATCCAGTAAAGCTCAACATGGATGTAGCCATACTCTGCACTCACATCCATCCACACATAGCTTTCCCGTGATAGCACCCTGTTCAACCTGCCTCTCACAAAGACATGGAACTTTATTTATTATATATACAGTGTTCTGCCTGCATGTCTGCATGCCAGAAGGGGGCGCCAGATCTCACTACAGATGGTTGTGAGCCACCATGTAGTTGCTGGGAATTGAACTCAGGACCTCTGGAAGAGCAGTCAGTGCTCTTAACCTCGGAGTCATCTCTCCAGCCCCTAGACATGGAACTTTTGCATGCCTCCCCAATAGGCTGTGCGCCTCAGCAGAAAGACTTGAGCAACTTCTAGTCAGCAAGATCCCTGAAAACTGATCCTATCCTATCCCGTACCCGCTCTATAAGCCTGTATGCTCTGTGCCATTAAAGATGAATTATATCAGACCCTAGTATCATAAAACTCAACTCAGATTGGCTTATCTCACACTGATAGGCTTTGACACATGTAACTGCCAAGGTTGTTGGTAGACTCCAGGTAGTTATCGGAGTTCAAATTCAGGTATCTCAGAGGTTTCTCAACTCTGCAGTATGCCAAGCCAGCTTTGAGCCCAGGCAGAAGCCCTCTGGTTCTGTAAGTGCCTGCCAGGGTTCACTGACTGTGCTCTAAGTGAGAAGAGGAGAAGCCCTGTCTTGATAACTCCTAAACAAAAGCTCGCAGCTGACCCAACCTCTGGCTAGGCGCCCACCTCTGAAACAATCATTCTGGCAGCAAGACTCCTAACGTTAGGATCTAGTTCTTTTTAATGCTGACCTTTTGTGGGGGAGACCTCTCCTCTGATTAGCCTTTTAGACTCATGTGTAGAGTAAGAAAGCTAAGCTGCAAACTTGATTGTGGCTTGAAGGGGTGAGAAACTGAGCGGTGTGTGAAGAAATTCTCCTGCTGCAGGATTACCAAATCCTGCAGGATGGAGAAAGCAGAGAGGATCCTCCCAACCTCTGCGTCTGCTCAGTTTTTCTGTTATTATCTTTCCCCTGTTTCTATCTTGCCTGTTCATATCTGGTATAACTTTCTCAAATGCAATACCAAGCACTTCCCATACCCTGGCCCCACACAAGAAGAAATCAGGCGTCTTGAGAAGGAACAATCAGGGATAAGAGAGGGGAGGCTGCATAGGAGAACTGGAGAAGGGGGAGAAAATGAGCGTGCTGGGGAAAAAAGGAAAAAGAAACTGTGTGCATGAATTGGCTCTGACACCAAAGACTCACTGTAACTTAAACTGTCCGATTACTACCTGCCTTTAAAGAGAAGACACCCACTCTCAATGTTATGTGACTTAAGCTACAGACCAACGAATGGGGATATTCAAAGGCTAGAAAGCACAAACCCACTAGCTGAAAGGTTTCTCACTTCTTTGAAAGTGTAGATGGGGACTGCTTGGGCAGCAGGAAACATAATCTTCCACAGCACTCATTTTAGTAAAATTGTAGACTCGTGCTTGTAGACTCTTGTTGATGAACTCCTTCTCGTGACTCTGATCTGTGACAAGAAGTACAGACAGCCTCTGAAGGACAGCAAGCTCATCGTTTTTAACTCTTCCTTCAGATATGGCTGTTGTTGAAGCAGCTCTGGTTATCACCTTGGCAATCTGGTTGAGGGCAAAGGGTCCTTTCTGAATTGCTTGCACAAGGAATTAGATTGCATCTAATCTCTTGGTGATGAAAACTTGAGAAATAATTAATCTGGATCCTCACAGGCAGTGGAGGTGATAAGAGATCTGAGTCATGGAAGACAGAGAAGCGCTGCAAACCGGGAGGCTAAGGCTCCCACTGTGACCAGGTTAGACACCTGTGCCTTCTAGTGTGCTATAGTTTGAATTTCAAATGTCCCCTACAGTGTTCGTGTTTTGAAAGCTTGGTCCTAAGCTAGTGCCTCTATTTTTGGAGAGTTCTGGAAACTTTGGAAGGTGGAGCTTAGCTTAGGGAAGCAAGTCACTGAGAAGAAGGGGCGGGTCCTCGGGGTGTGCTATCCTTGCCCACTTCCTGTCTCCCTGTGATTCCTGGTCCTCTCCACCATGTGAACAGGCCCTACCACATGCTCTCATTGTAAATGGAGCTCTCTGCCATGACTTCCCCGCCATCTTGAACTAAATCCTCTGAAACCATGAAACCAAAAAAAGTATTTCCTTAAGTTTTGGTGTCAGGTCACTTTTGTTATAGCAACAAGAGAAGTAACTAATGCACAGTATGATAAGGAAACTCTCCACTGTTCGTACCACATACATGTCTATCCGCATGCCTCTTATCTCATCACATCTGCCTGCTCCTTGTCATTTAACTCAAACCTCGGAGTTTGAGGTCTCTACGAGAAGCAAAGACAATAGAAGAAAAAAAAATTGTATCATTTATCTTGGCAAGCACATATTGGGCTAAACATTATAGGAAGATAAATTTAGTTATAAAACCAAGGGGGGGGGGAGTTCTTCCTGGAGAAATTACTGGAGTCTGGTTTATTTTCTGCAACATAAAAAGTTTTGTTTGTTGTTTGTTTGTTTGTTTGTTTTTAAAGCCGGCCATGTAAATAAGGGATCAAGTTCAGGGCCCTTCAAGATGGAACTCAGTAAGTTGTTTGTTCTGTGACCCTGGGAACTAAAACTGAGGCAGAATATATGAATATGCCAAACAATCAACTGAAAACCGAACTAGTACAATTCTAAGATAGGAGATGAAGAAAAAGCAAAAGGACCATCTTTCTGTGATAGGTAACACCTGTTTCTCATCACACCCCAAACTACAGCAGGAAGGCAAAGAGTGAATGTTGGGTCAAAAAATTAAAAGAGCAAAGTACAGGAATCATTTTTAAGTCTTGCTTCTTTATAAAGTTTAGTTTTAGACAAGGTGTTTGTTTTAGCTTTGTGTTGCTCTAGCAAAACGCCTGAGATAGTCAACTTAAAAAGAAAAAAAAATGTTTCTTTTTAACCTGTAGCTTTAGAGTTTGCAGCAGTGTTAGGCTTGCCTAGGGTTTTGGGCATGCGGTGAAGCCACACATCATACCGGAAGCACACAGTAGGGGAATCTGTCCAACTTACAGCAGCCAGGAAGCAGAGAGAGGAGACGGGATGTAGCCAGGGTTCCAACATCCGCTTGGAAGGCACAACTCCTAGGATCTTATGTCCATTAGTTTGCACCTCCTAAAGGTTCCGGCATCACCCACTGGTACTCTCAGCTGAGGACTCAACTTCAAGTGTGGGCTTTGGGGAAACATCTGAAATTCAAACTGCAGTAGCAAGAATAGGCGACAAGCTTGGAAACAACGGGCAAACTACTTCCCAAAGCAGAAGGGAAGGGCAAGGTGACGAGACAGTTTCAGCTCCTGATGGAGTCACAGCCTCTACAACATCGGTACCCAGGCCTGGTCCTTTGAAGCACCATTTATGTGCACTGGGCAAGGTAGTATGTGTTCGCCACTCTGCTACCCGTGGGGATGAATAAATGTCTGTAATACACATGAGCACAGTCCTTTCTACACAAAGAGCCCAACCTTTCCAGATCCAAGGGACGAGAAGGAATAGGCTTTACAACCCACAGATTCAAGTATGAAGAGTAAGTTAAATTCAGACTCAGTAATCTGAGTCTAAGTCCTAGCCCCAGAACTTACCAGCTTTAGGGGTTTCAGCAAGTTACCTTCCTGTTTTCTTCTTATCTTTAGTTTAGCCATATTTTATTTGTCGACCTCACAGAATTCAAAAGCTGCTCTCTGTTAAGGCACTTAATACCATGGGCTGGGAACCAGTGCCTGGCACAACAGCAGCCACTCAGTGCATGGTGGTGACAGTTATTTAAAACAACACCACAATGAGCCTGGCTATCTGGAAAAGAGAACGGCATCCTAGTCAGTGTGTAACAGGGCAGTCAGTGTCGGAGCTCATGTCATGGCTGAATGCCTCCTTGCTTATCATTGTCCGGCTGAATGGCTTTGTCTGCATCAGCAGAGCCCGGGAAACTAGTGGTATCAGAGCAAAGGAGAGGAGTATTTCTTATGGCTCTTCTGAGCACAGCACGGTCTTGCCAGAGGTTGGTTTGCGATCAAAGAAAGGAGTATCTGCTGTAACCTATCAAACCTAAAAGATGACTAAAGATCATCTTGCACTGATGGTGTTGAAGAGAACATCAACAAGTTGCTGGAAAGCCTGAGCACTGGAAACTAAAATCTCAGCACATTGCCTCATCACAATTCGGAGCTGTACCCACACCACCATGTACAGGCACAATGACAGATCCCTCCTTTCTCAAGGAGACATGGTATCGGAGTTTGCTTTCTGGTGCTTTGATAAACATTATGACCCAAAGCAACTTAGGGAGGAAAGGGTTTACTTCACATTACATTTTCCAGTCCATCAGCAGGACCATGGAGGAAAACTACTTAGTAGCTTGCTCGGGTACCTTTCTTATATAGTTCAGACCCACCTGCCAAGGGATGGCACCACCCACAGTGGGCTGTGCCCACCTACATCAATTAACAATTAAAATTGCCTCACAGACATGGCCACAAGCCAATGTGATCTTGGCAATTCTTCAGTTGAGGGGTGTCTCTTCCCAGGTACCTCCAGGTTTGTGTCAAGTTGACAGCTGAAGCTAACTTTGACATGCGGTCAAGGATAATGACCTCCAAGGATGAAGGCTTTCCTCTAGGAGGTTAGCAGGCAACATGGGTGAAGATAAAAGGCCTCTAAGTTTTTGGTGAAACAAAAGTCAACTTTTTAAAAAGTCTTTTTTTAAAAGTATATATACCATATTTGAAATCCAACATCTGCATGTCATTTGTAAATAAAATATAAATATTTATAAGAGGCTGGGTCAATTTTTCACAGTGTTGGGGGCGGGTCTGGCAAGGTGGCTAGGCAATGGATAAAGGTGCCTGAGTTCAATTTTCTGAACAAGAAAGGAACCAACCTGAAAATTTTCCTCTGATTTCTACATGTACACTGTATCACATGCCTGTCCACACACACATATACACACATACAAAACAAATAAAAGATGACACAGTTTTGTAAATTTTAAAATCATAGACACACTAACACTTCCACGTTTACTGTAGTACCATTCACAAGAGCCAAGATATAGAACCAGCCTAGATGTCTATCTTCAGATGAATAAATAATGCAAATGTGATACATAGACACATAGGCATTTTACTCCGCCATAGAGAAGAAGGAGAGCATGTCACTAATGGGGGGATGGTAGGACTGGAGATAGTGACGCTAAATGAAACAAGCCAGACTCAGAAAGACAAATGTTTTCTCTTCTTTCTCAAATGCAGATATGCAGAATCTAAATATACACATACCAATTATAACATACATATATGCAGAGAGAGAGAGAGAGAGAGAGAGAGAGAGAGAGAGAGAGAGAGAGAGTAGAAGACTGGGAAAAGAAGAAAAGCCCTAAAGGGAAAGGGGGGAGGGAGGGAGCAAGGGGGGGGGAAACATCCCATGTTTTCTGATATGTGAGTCACTATGAAATGTCTCAGTGGTACACTTTATTTTGTGCACTAACTGAAAAATATTTTCTTTTAAAGAAAGTATTGCTCTTAAATTAAAAAAGAAAAGACTTGGAGCTTTTGGTCTAGAGAAATAAGATCATCAAACCAACAGTGAGAGAATGCAGGGGGACTTGTCTGGGACCCAGATGATGGGCACCCACCTCAGCAAGGGAAGGAAGAGGACACAGTGGAGGCTTCTTGGAGGAGGTAAGAGGCTGACTGCTCGGTGGAAGCGAAGTGGAAGAGGGGAAAACATTCCCGCCAGGCTGCACAGCAAAGGCAAGGTGGCCTGCCTGAACAAGTGAGAGCAGTTTGAAAACCGTGATAATCTGGCCCATCTTAAGCTGTCAGTACCCGTGGGGAACCTTAGGCAGTAGGGCTGGGAGGCAGCTGCAGAGGTGGGTTATCAAAGCTACCGAAGAAGCAGCTGATTCTGGGAGTGAAGCTATGGCTAAGAGATGCAAGCCCGGGAGATGAGACCAGGGAGCACCGTGCCCAGCGTGGTCCTCCAGCCCAGTCTTCTACTGACACCTGTCCAAGGCCTGGAAGGAACAGATAGCAACCGCAGGTTGGTGAGACCTCAAAAGCTCAGGACAAAAACAGTGCTGGAAGCCAGTGAGGGGATAAAAATGCATCAGCCATGCATTGCTGGCTGATCATCAATAACATGGAGACATCGTTGGGCAAAAAAGTGGTGCAGTCTTTAAAAAGCATCCAGGCCTCACTGTAGGCTCTATTGTCGTCAACAGCAACAAAACGCATCACTGGAAAGAGGCAAAGCTGGAAGGGGGATAAACAGGGACCACAGCAGCCAGGACAGTCCACAGACTCAGTCACAAAACCACAGAAGACTCCTAGGACTGAGTTAAGAGGACCTTGTAAAGTCCCTGGTGCTTCCTCATGTGATGAGGCTATGTGTGTCCTACTCAAATTGCAGCCTTCACATCTCGCTCATGAAGATTTCCAGGCTCTACAAATCCCGGGTCTGCCCTTCATGCAGTTGCTTGGTGCCATGCTTTAGGAACCTTGCCTAGAGGCTGGACCAAGGCATGTCATTGGAATGAATGAAATAGTAATTGCTTGACAGCTCTTGTGAACCTGATTTTAAACCTCTGCCTGCTTTGGCCTGAGAAGCAGTGATTACTCACTCCCTTCAAACTACACTGATGGTGGAGTGGACCCAGGCTGTTCAATTAGAACTGCAGCACCTGGCTGGGGATCTATTCATTCTGTTCTGGAGAAGTCTGGGGGGAACCTGGCAATGGCTGTCATTACCATGTGTATATATAGCAAGTAGAGCAGAAGCAGCTCATGAAGAATGCTCATCCTGGTCATGTGGTGACTCAGGACAGAATCTCTGTTATCATACGTAAACAGAACCCAAAGAACCAACTGAGACCTAATCACCCAAGAGTGGTCGAAGCTGGCTATTACTATTAATGGTGGTGGGGTTCCAACTCATTGCCTGGCCATGTAAGGCCAAGATCAGATCAGTTTCCGATCTGGAAAAAAAGATCAATTCGACAAACTCAGTTGCATACATGGTCATCAAGGGTGCAGGATAGTAATGGTGGTCTTTGGAAGAAGGCAAGGCCTACGGAAAGGATGTCGTCTGTGAAAGAAAGGATATTGGTGGGAGTGCAGCCTTCGTTTTTTAAGAGCTGCAGAGAAGGAAGTATCAGACCTTAGTACAGGTAGCCACAGGCTTACCCCAGCTGAAGGTCTGAGCTTTTGACTCAGTCATTCTTCAAAGTAGTGGAGGAAAAGGCGTGCCCCCCCAGCCACTCTGGAGACTGGAGCTAGTAAACCTGAAAACCTGAGGGCACTTAGAAGGGACTCACGAAGCCAGAGAATGGTAGTGTTGAAGGCAATGTAAGGAACTAGGTTTAGAAGCCTGGCATTCATACAGTCGTCCCTCGTACGGCACTCACAGACGTCCACATGGGGCACAGGAAACACATGCTTTGACTGTGAGAGTATCCTGAAATCCCTCTCTGTGGACATCAGACAACTGCATACCAGATCTGGTGGTTTCAGGTGGCTCCATGAAAGCACGGGTTCCCACCTCCCTGGCAGCTGCCTATCCTGAGGACCTTGGCGTGCTAAGCTTTAGGAGACTCTTAATGGATAGTAAGTGATCTGTAATGCCACGTCCTAGCCTATGAATTACTCCACGTCTCTGTGGCCGATGGACACACTGAGAGGTACAGTGCTCGGGGGGTGGGGGGGGGCGGGGGGGTGTACAGTTTCCAAGAGAAGGATCTTGAAGGCAGGGGATGCTTGTAGCTCATGGCCACTCTTTTATCCAACTCCAGTTCTCCTGCTACCCTGCCCTTGGAGATACTGTTACTCCCCCAAGTGAAACAGATAAATGTTTTCTCAAGAACAGAGGTGTACCAGTCTCTTTGAAGCAACAGGTTGAAGTGTTAGGTTTACATATTTTCATAGCCTAGTGTAGACTTTATCTAAACGAACACACTCGCAACAAACATGCTAAAATGTAAGTATAGCAGAAGTAAATATTTTGTTGTAAAGCATTTATTATTTTGTTTGCCTGTGGTTATGCTTTGTCTGTGGATGGTGGATTGATGCTTTGGTGGGTATACTGGCTGGGTGCACGTGAGAAGACCTCAGAATGCCCTTGCCTCAGTTTACCACATATACAAAACCAGCAGACTTGAACATTGAAAATATCATGATCATATGCCTCATTTTAAAGAACCAAAAACATGTGTGCGAATTAAAAGAGCAGACTCTCACATAAGCAAGCTTCAGTTACATACAAAGATGTAGTTAAGTAAATATACTCATCTCTCACAAAATGTAATGGCTCAACACACACAAAAGAATTTTAACTCTTTGAAAATTGTAACTCGTCTTAGAGTTACTTTTGTTCTTCACATTAAAAAAAAATCAATATACTCAAGATTTTACTTTGGAAGTCACACCTTGTGACAGGAGGGGTTAGGGAATGGAGGCAGCCAAGAGGTAGGTGTTAATAACATCCTTCTTTCACTTACATACTTCTGGCCTATCCATGGCTGAGCTCTCTAGCTTGAGCCACCTCTGCGCCTCTCACACTCCTTCTGCAGTTGATAATTCCACAGAGAAAGTCATTTCTCCTGAGAACAGAGTTGCCACTTCAAAACTCAGGGTGCTCCCCAGCTGCTGCAGTGTGTGTGTGTGTGTGTGTGTGTGTGTGTGTGTGTGTGTGTGTGTGTGTGTGTGTGTGTGTGTTGGGAGCGGGTGCCTACCATCTCTAGGGAAGTTGTTTTGGCATCATTCTTGGCTGAAGTTTTGCATTGCATTCCCATGTCACTGGGTGCAATGTCTATCTGCCAGATACTCTGCCTGCTCTCCGCTAAAGGCCTTCCTCCCTGACCGGGCAGCTGAGCACACTGCGCAGTGGCTAAATTTCTAGTTCAAGATGTAGAATTCTAACTTCTTCTCTTTACACCCTTGTCCGGCCCCAGCTTCCAGCCAAGCGGGTCCCTGGCTCATTATCAGGCCCCTGGGTGCCCTTCCCCCATTCTCACTTGGTCCCAAGAAATTATTCCTGGCACCAAACTGAACTTGAATGACCCACTGCCCCAGCCCCACCCAATTCAGCTCTCTCCTGGGCAAATTTGTCCCCTTGTAGGCTGCGAGAAGTGATAAACTAGACAAAACTGCCAATGGGTGAGAGAGCTCAGCCTCAGTCTTCGTGACAGGGAGATGGTGAAATTTTTCAGTGACAGAAATACCACATGTGCCTGGGTTTAAACTTACACGAAGTGCCTTAACAAGCCTATTATTAGAAAGAACACCAAGTGGTATATATAGGTTAAAAAGAGAGGGACGCTATATTTTTTTTTTTTTTAGGTATAATGTACCAGAGGGCAAATCGAATTGTCCTAAGGAAAAAATGCTAAATTCAGAATGCATGAATTAATTTTTTAAAACTGCACTCTTGAATCATGAATAATGCTCCTTGGGCATCTGGGAAAAAAATATACACCTTGTGGGTAAAATATAACTGTTACTGGGGGTGGGGTCCAGAAAATAATTGATTCTTCAGAGGTTAACTGGTCGTTATTATGGCTTAAATGCTCACAAAATGGCGAAATCTTCCCTTTGAAGTGAAAATTGGGTATGCTTTGACCCTGTTTCCAGACCATTATGCTGCCCTCTCCACCGTGGAGCTGGGATAGAGCATCGGGTTGCTGTAGGTGTTGTAATTTGGGGTAAGGAAATTATTTGAGTTTTTTGTTCCTCAGAAGAATCAGGGACAACGACCGCGATACATATGTAAAACACAGTCAAATGCACTTGACAACCAAGCACTCTATTTTGAAATTTAAATAAAGCAAAGATTTTCTTCTGGCCTAGGGGGAAAGCTTCGTTAAAATCAATTAGTTAGTACAAACCTCCAGAGAATACGGACTTTTTAATTTTTTTTTTAAATGAGAAAGTTTAAAGAATAAGGTGCACACAATTACCTTTCCTGGGTCCCTAGGGAGTGTCATTGTCACACCTAGACAGGTGGCCAAGTGCAAACACATGTCCCCGAGGGGGGCCCGGTAACTCCCCGGGTGCTCCTCGGAGGGAACCATGTGTAATTAATAGATGTAGATCTATTAGGAATGTAATGCACGTAAACCGAGGAGGCTCCAAGCGGACGGCGGGCACCTCGCACCGCGCAGGGCAGGCCCGGGGACGTGAAGTTGGAGGCGGGCGCTGCCAGGTGAGGCCTGGGTCGCGGAGGTTGGGGCCGCACAGCTGCCGGCGCGCGCCTGGTCCCTCCTCCCAGGCGCGGAGTCCTCCCCGCCCCCTCCCCGAGCTCCCGCCGCCTCCCGCTGCCTCCCGGAGGCTCGGCGCTGCGCTCCACCTCGCGCCCCCTCTCCTCCGTCCCGGGCTCGCGCTGCCCTCCCCGCGCCTGCCCCCTCCCCGGCCCCTCCCTCCGCCTCCGCGCGCGGCGCTCGCAGAGCCGACTCCGGGGGGCTCTCCGATGTAGCACCATGACAGGCATCGCCGCCGCCTCCTTCTTCTCCAACACCTGCCGCTTCGGGGGCTGCGGACTCCACTTCCCCACGCTGGCCGACCTCATCGAGCACATCGAGGACAACCACATCGGTGAGGCCCGGGTGGGCGGGGGGTGGGGGGG